AACAAAATCTGAAAGAAATGCCCCAAGGGGAAAGAATAGCTGATTTTAATTAACAGACAACACCAGCAGAAGAACAAAGATACATTAACTGGCCACAAATAAAGTCTGCAAATCCATAAAGATTTCTCCCTAAGCAAGACAGAGCAGAGAGAATTTGAAGGGATAAACACATAGGTATTTTTTTAAGAAGGAATTTGACAATTTTCTTGAAAGGGTTCCTATATGCTGCATGTGATAGCGAGTGACTAGATTTACTAAGGAGAGCCAGTTCTTTGTCAGATAAAATATCACCACTTCAGTGATTCAGTTTGGAACACGTTCTCAAATATTTGCAATTTATGCAGGGGAGACACAATAAAAAAGAGGGTTCCTGCCAAGCAGTAACCAATCCTGCCAGGATGACCTAAATCTGTTGCCAAGTCAGATTTACCCTTCAAATTCAAACACAAGAGCTGCACCTGTAACTTCCTCTGCTGCTGAGCCTGAAAGCGAAGGTCAGGTCACAGCTTCAGGACAGCCATCGATGCTCCTGCACGAAAGGCAGCTCCATTTTAGCATCTGTAAGATCAAAATGCTGAAGAATCAGCTAACACTTGTGCCTTGCGTCTGAGGGAGTAAGTGACGAAACTGAAACGTTTACACAATCTTGGTAAATGACTGAAGTTTTGTGCTCTAAATATGCAGAATAGAAAGTTCATAAAGAGTAAACAAATAAGCGAACGGGCATAACAGTTGTGTCTCACAAATCTAAATCCCTGAAAGAATTCATTTGCCAAGAAGATATCATAGAGACTGGATTTATTAAAACTAGAAGAGCCTAAGGTTTTTTGCTTTGTAGTTTTTGTTTTGTTTTTTTTTGTTTCGTTTTGTTTAATGCAACAGTCCTGTATTTATACTAATTCAGCTAATCCGGGATACAGTTTACGAGTTTACATTAATAATTTTAAGGGCAACCTTGTAATTTCATACGAGCCTGTGCTGTGACTTGCACTGAATGCACTCATTAAACAGTCTTAATTTTAAAGAACTAATTGCTTCGTGCAGCAGATCAGTCCCAGCAGGGTGCATGCTACTGCTCAGTTTTCTCAGTGTATTTTCTTCAGTCACCGCTTTGCTTCACTTGAAATAAAGATGTGGGAGTATCGTTGTGAAGGGACTCTACCACTGTCTTACAACTGTCTTACAGCTATTTCAAAATTAAAACATTTTACAGTTAAGCTAGGCCAATATATGCCCTACAGTAAGTCATATGTCCTTGCAAACTCCTATTTCTGAGCAATAACTTCTATGTAGGGATAACAGGAAGCTTTTAAAGTTCCGTGTCAACTGACTTTCTCCTGATTTTAGAAATCAGTTCACAAAGACACTTAAAGATTTGAGTAGCTTTAAGCATTCAAACTCTATTTCTGCTACACAATTGCATCTTTTGTTAACTATTGAACTGTCCTGCTACTCAGCGGATCGGTTTAAGCAGAAGTGGTAAGCATCCTGCCAAGCAGAGGCCTGAAAGGGAGCGCATGACAACTGTTGTCCTTGTCAGATGTTGGTCAGCAGCAGCCTGAGCAACAATAACAGATTGCTTTGCAAGGCATTAATTCCTCATTGAACTTTGACTGAATCACGCCATGCAACTGTGAGCCTGCCACCACGCTTTCCTAGAAGGCCCCTAAAATCTCTCCAGCTTACTTCACCGTCCAGGTGGAAAGCCGAGAATCAGTCTCTCCAAAACACCTCTACCTCAAGAGGGAAAGGGAGACAGGAAAACCAAACCAAACCCCAAAGCAGCCATGTTTTCAAACAATCAAAATCAACAAGCTGGCCCTAGGAAACAAAAGCAAATATCATCTGTCCTTTCAACCTCCCTTTCTAAGCACTGCAGCAGGTCCTCCTCTTCAGATGGAAGGCTACGATATACCAGTGTCAGAAGCAAAGTTTGAGAGTATCTACTTCTCTCCTCATTCAGAGAGACAAGGTGCTTCCCTACAACTAGCCGTATTTCCTACCATGAGCAGGGAAGATCGCATGATGCCCTGACCTTTCAGCTGACTGGGCAGCAGGGAGAGCACTCCTGTGGTATATGGAACCGGATTCAAGTCTCTGTAACAGAGACAGGGACATGAGATTTATTTCAAGTTAAGTTAGATTAATACATTTGCTTTTTCTCTACATCATCTTCTCATGTCCCCTGGAACTTCTGGAAATCAGTAAACTGACTTACCTGAAGCATCTTGTCAGATATGAAAGAATATTGTCACATACCAATCATATCCCAGGCACAAATGGGAAGACAATTGCTATAGCTACCTCACTACCAAAAATATCTATAAACGAAGCCACATAAATAAACTGAGGCAATACATAAGTGAAGGTCTTAGAGAATTTTCCCTGACTCAATTTACTGAAAAAGCTGCAGGATCCTCCTAAAGGGGACTGGGGAGCCAGAACAAAGAACCTCACAAGTGTTTTTGAAGCAACAAGTTCTTTTTCATAAACTGCCTGAAGCAGCTAAAATAATGATCTTGCATAATGAGAAAGGAACAATTACAAACTTCTAGTCTCACAGGGAGCCTATTGTCTCATTAAAGCGTTCTGGAATTTCTATGACATTTAGAAACAAACTGGACAGGTTTCCCACTTGCTGAAAGTGGGAATGGGCCTTCTATCTATTAAAGCAACAGCACAAAACCACCCTCTTCCCATAATGATTTCAGTGCCAGTTTTCTGTTTTATTAACCAAGAACTTTATAAGAATGATTTGTTTGATTGAGGTTGTTATGTTTTTCAAAGGATTAACAGACAGATTATTAGAGTGGTTTACAAAGTAACACAGACCCCTCTGAAATCTTTATGTCTAGTTCGCAAAGGAGAAAATTCCATGCATCTCCTATTTTACCTGTAAGTTACCTGTAAGACCTATCAAGCAACGGAAAAAGTCTTTCTTTTCCAATTCTAGCTAAACATGCTCTTTCCTTACAAGGAACAACAGGCTGCACGAGGCACTCTCCTCTGTGACACAGCAGTCAGCATCCTGTCTTGCAGGCCAGCCAGCCCCGTTTCCCTCTTACATACAGTTCCCCCTGTACACAGACCTTTACCAGTTAGCGGCCAGCCTGGCTGTCCTTCCTGCATCTCTGGTCTTTCCCTTGGAAACTGTTTTATTTAACTACTTAGGAGGTGATGGATCGGGTTTCTCCTTGCTCTCCTGGCAGCCAACCAGGACCCATCCTTCCTTTAGCTTCTCTCAGAGAAGGTTCACAAGCAGCCACAGCAGAGGACTAGTCAAAAGCTGCACATTGAGCATCCATGATAAAAGAGAAGAAGCCATCACCTCCTTACAGGAACAGCCCAGCACAGAGGTTGGGCACAAGCGAAGAAGACTACGTGAGAGTTGGTAGAGCATTAACAGTGCTTCAGGAAGAGAAGGAAGAAATAACAGGAGAATAAGATTAGAAAGAGAAGAGAAAAAAAGAAATTTAGCAAGGACGCTCTATCTTAATAGGGAGGAGTCCATTTTCTCTAGATACATGCATATAGAAAGGGATTGCTTTTGGGTGTTCTGCTAATTCTGTATGCTCCACCTGGGTCTGCACAGTGTCAGCTGGGCAAACTGCCTTACAGCTGAAGCTGAGCCTTTGATTCCTGTGGAATATACAGTCCCCCGGAATGTGTGGCCTCCTGTTGCTTTACAATCCTAAATTCCACATGAAAAGATTTAATATTACAGAACAATAAAGTCAGCCATAACGCTCTAGGTTGTACTGTGCTGAAACTTAATACGATTATAAATTCCATTCATTTACAGAAGTATTCCAAAAGGACTATTTACTGCAAGTAGGATTATTGTTAGCTAAAAATACTTTGTACAGGGAACTCATGAACTTATTCCTTTGATTACAGCCTTCTTTTATATGAGAACCTGCAAGAAAGTCTAAGGGCACAGAACTGGGGATGAGGCATTTGGGGCTGCCCACCAGATTACAGTAGACAACAGATATTAATTTATCTTAAATAAGGCATAACAGGAAAACAGAAGAGGTACTCCAGTCTGAAAGGCTGAGATCTGCCCATGTTCTCAGGTCGTAAAATCTGTTTTATGGAAAAGGACTGCACCATTTCAAATGTAAACCAACTCTCCTGTCAGTATCTTATTATTTTGCACAAGCTTAAATATTTTTCCAAAGGAGACAGATTTTCCTAAAAGATAGTTCAAGGAACCGATAACACAAAATGCTGACTTTTTATTTCATCATGTGGCCTGGTGTTCTGGTTTCAGCTGGGACAGAATTAGTTTTTCTTTTTAGCAGAGCAGCTAGAATAGCTCTGTGATTTGGATTCCACTAATTCATCCCACTGTTGCTTTGCCCATGCAACACACCACCTCCTTACTAACCATCCAAACTATGACATGCAGCAGCCACCACCAACTCAAATTCCGCATTTGTGTATTTTCCTCAGGGTTGGCATGATAATGCTTTTCATTGCTTTCAATCACTCTACAACAAAGGAAAAGGGGGAAAAAAAAAACAGTCTTTCACAGAGAAAGTGCACTCACACATGGTATTTGCAGGAGTATTCCAAGAGGGCCATTTACTGGAAGGAGGATTACAGTTACCTACAAATATGTTGTGCAGGGAGTTGATTTATTTATTGCTTTCATTACTGCCTTCTTTTACACAGAAGAAGTACAAGGTGTGTAAGTTCAGGAACGCAACATTTGGGACAACACTTGCTTCTTGGACTCTGACAACCAATTAGGGGGTTTTGGAGGGGCTTTTGGGTAGATTTTATTGTCAGAACATTTTTATTTCACCAAAAGCTCCCGCCAACCATTCATACCAGCATTTTGATGGAAAAACAGATGCAGTTCTTCCCACTGCAGTCCCTCACATCGGAAAGTCTGATATCGAACCAAGCTGCAGGGTCTGGCTCATTTGAGAAAGAGATGCATCAGACTGCTTCAGTTACTTGGTGACAGGAAAGCAAGAAAAGTTCCAACTTACCACCCCACCTCCTGCCGAATGAACCAGCACAGACATGCCTTCTCTTAGGTTAGCAACTTCAAAGAGCATCATGTAGGCAGTTACAAAGTTCATGGGAAATGCAGCAGCTTCAGAAAAACTCATGTCATCTGGGATCTTGTAGACAAATTCTACTGGGGTACATACTACTTCAGCCCATGCGTTGTAGTTTACAAAAGCCATGACTCTGTCTCCAATCTACAAACAAGGAAGAAAACAATGTTGAGGATATGGCTGCAATCAAGACCGTAGAGAGCAACTCTCCTGTTTAAGCTGTAGGTCACTGACTGACTGTGAAGATAATGGTGTTCCACATCTTTGGCAAAATAGCAGTTAAGCTGCTCAGCTTTAGTCTTTCACCATTTTTAACTGTATTTATTTCAAAGGTTGAATTCAACAAGAATATCCAAAGTTAATGCCACCTCTTCTTTTTTGCTACGCTGCTTCTCCAATAGAGCAGTTTTCCATCATCACTAACACAGATCATCTGGTGCTAGCAGAGCTCCTAAATAACAAATGGGGCTGTAAACAACAAAACCAGCATTCTTACTAACGACCAGGAATTTTGCTTACAGAAAAAGGAAAAAAAAAAGAAAAAGATATTATAATTATATTGATGAGATGCATGAAATAAACAAAATCACCCCTAAGGTAATTTTCACTTTGCTTTCTCAGTCTTCACACTACTTTAGAGCTACTTTTCCCCTCTGTGGATTGAGAGGAGGACGAGGCCTTGTACTCTGGTAGACAGAGCACATGAAAGGATTCAGAAACTACTCATTTAGAAGAGAACACCATCTATATCCACTCTTTATTTTTAATATCTTTATAACAGATTCTACCAATACATTTCCATGATTGTCATTTCTACAGCCATGTGTCAGAGCAGAATTTGATCCTGCACCTTCAAATAAGCTACCTTAAATATCAAAAATATACCTCTGGGTTCTGAGGCTCTACTGAGCCTACAAAGTGAATCTGACAGGATTTAAAGAATGAATGAAATATTCTCTATGAACACAATATTTCTCTACTCAAATTCTTTGGAAAACACAGCAGTGAAAGGGTATTTCACTATGGAGAAGTAAAAATTTTAAGCTTAATATACAGTCGGTTGCTCCTAGGAACCTTTCAGAGGTCCAGGAACATCAAATTTGTATGTTTGTATAATGGCCCTCATTGCAGCTTCAGGTTTTTAAAACTGAGATAGTGACTCCCCACAGATGGGCAAGAACAATAACAAGGCAACTGGAGCTCTGAGGCTCCTGCTGGAGTACAACCAGACTTGAAAAGCAGCACTTGCACAAAAGTATAAATTGGTCTGCTGGGGCTACTAGGAGAGCCACAGTGAGCAAATGTTTGGCCTATATATATTAAAAACGTCATAGGCATGACTGTTACAAACTCTGGGTAACAGCTTGTCACCAACAGCCCCTGTGCATCTTTTACCTTGTCTTAGACCTCTTTGCCTTCCTATAATCACCAATAAAAACAGCGTCCTTAACCACGGAAGGAGTTCTTCAGTGGAGCCACAGTGTAAGTAATAAGGCAGGAACAGCATCAAACTTTAGGACTTCATGTTTTAGTTAAACTAACAGCAGCGGTCCCTCTAAAATGTCTTTGCTTATCTGCCTGATACTGTCTGTCTTGCCTTCTACTAATACTCACTAATGCTTTAGAAATACTACAGGTTGTTCTTGGACTATTTCAACTATATTCCACAGCAATGGAGTAAAGCACAACACTTTTACCTTCAGGCAAACGTTTATAGCACAAGCACATTTTAGTCTCCCAAGTACTTGTCATCACTTCAGCTTTGGGATATCGCGGGTTTGCTAAAAGCTAAGGTGCTGCTGACAGTTCTGAAAGGTTTGTCTCTTATAGAATGAGGATGCTGAGACAGAACCGTCATTCCAATTTCACCAAAATGCCTCCTCCTTTTGAAAAACATTCAAATTAACAACACCTCACTGGTAACCACTCTGTGGTTCCCTTTTGCTGTTAGAAGCATCTAAAAATCTAAAGTCTGCTAGGATTAATTAATGAAGATGTTAGTATGTCCTATATCCTTAGAAGCATCTAAAAATCTAAAGTCTGCTAGGGTTGTTATGCAAACAAGCATAAACGATTACCAAAAATAATGCAGAGAAGTCCCTTAGTGATTCCCAAGGGATTTCTTGGTAATAACAAGATGATGTCCCTGCTCACTGCAGGAGGGGTTGGATTAAATGACCTTTAAAGGTCTCTTCCAACCCAAACTATTCTGTAATTCTATAAATACCATATTTTACCACAAACACTATACAGAGCATAGTCATCACATCAGGTTAGGCCTTAGGTCCTGAGATTCATCCCCACAACTAGAGAGAGATCAGGCCTGATACATTTGAGCTCACTAGAAATCAGCTTTTTCTTTTAATGGAAAAACAAACAGGCATTACGCCATTATTCCATAAAAAAGGCATTCTTTCAATGTAAAATGCATTCTTACACACTGCTGTCAAAATGGACTGTCATTCAGTGCTGTCACTTGCCATATGATAACACAATCACAGCAAAGGAAGACAATAAATGGCTGGTAGAACAGACCAAGGGCCAGTAAGACACATTCTAGCAGAGCAGGAAATACTCACGACTTTAACATGACTTGAGATGGAAGAGATCTATAAAAGGAAAGAAGGTCAGAAGATGTAGGGCGCAATCTTTGCCATTCCTGCCATTGCTATGGCCAGCAGTAACAGCATATGTCAGAGACACCAAGCATCTGGGGTGCCCCTGTTCTGTGCAAGAAATCCATACAGAAACCGACAGGAAGTTCTTGCACCTTCTCACAGTACGTTCTCCCACTGATGGGTCCATACCTGTGCACAGCAGCTATTCTGAGTGTCGGGCCTTCCTCTAGATCACTCAAACACTAGCATGGCTATGCAGTTCACATACAGAAAATAAACCACCATGGCTTGTTTCAGTTTCAGGGAGTACACCAGAGCACAAACACATTCTACAGTCAGAACAAAGAGATGAAAAAGACCCAGTATATTCAGTCAGGTGCAATGTTATTCACTAAGCACCATATGCTGTAACCTCATGATGCCCTTTAAAAACAGCAAGAACTTTTTAACTGAGAATGCTGATCTAGAGCAGATACTTTCCATACTCCTTCCGTAGAATATTCTTCAATATGGAGCCTAACTATGAAACACAGACACTAGAGCGGAACTACTGGAGCAGCAGAGTTTTTCAAGCAGCGAAGTTATTGTTCAGTTATTGTTTGTCACAAAAAACATCGGAAGATTATGACTCGTTTCAAGGCACAGATAGGGCAGGAGGGGGAAGGCAGAGAAATGCCCTAAGAAGTGCTCATCACTGAGACCCTGCTAGAAACTAAACTGGCCCTAATCTCTACGCAACTGAGAAATTTTACAGCTCTTCTAGAAGTGCAAAAATGTTACCTTTAAATAAAAATATTTGAGGTAATTGCCTTCTTAAGATCAAGATACAATAGGAATTCTGAAAGTGCAATTACTTAATGAGATGACTGACTCAGCAAATAACTAAGACAGGATTGACATGCATTAACTCGGTTCTTATTTCAAAATTTTCCTATCTACTTCGGAAATAAAGTGCAAGATTGGAAGAAATATAGATGTTTAACATCAATAATGGAATAGAAGGTAGGACAGAAGGCTGTTTATATGTAATAAGAGATACTGAAGAGTACATAACACCAACCAGTCATGAAAGCTTTACTACATGCATTAAATATTTGTCCTTTATCACTATTCTGTTAGGTGTCCTGAGTGATCAGAACAAGTCACACAACCAGAATCAGGGTCCCCATTTATCTGCCTCATGACTGCATATGGTCATAAGAGGCAACACTTACTGTAGATGGGGGTCTCATTAACTCAAGATCAAAAGCTGGAACTAGAACCAGCAGCATGTGGGCTCTGAAGCAGAGCAACGATGACAGCAAACATAGTCAAGAAAAGAAACTTAACAAGTTAACTCAATTTCTTTTACCTTCTTGAAGCTCATCAGTCACGCTTCCCAGTTCCTATTTAGCCATCAAGATATGCGCATGGCACAAGTGACTTTCCAGAAAGGATTTGAAGGAGATGACAGTGGTGGCTTCAGAAACTAATTTAAGAGGTCATTCTCATGCTTAAGAAGCAACAAGGAAAAACTGCCCTTTCAAATCTCAAGAGGGTAGTGAAGGCTGCTGTCCACTGGCAGACCAGAAGGGATTAGGGACAACATACTCGGTGAACTGGTGATTATTCAGTCTTGCTCTGAAAATAAAGAAAATATTACCTCAAATCCTTTCACGCTATCTCCAAGAGTTTCTACAATTCCAGAGCATTCAAATCCAGGAACCAGTGGTGTCTTAGGAGGGTTGTCGATATTCCCCTGTCGCACCATCAAATCAAGAAAGTTCAAACCACTGTAAAACACAGGAAAAACATAAAACCAAAACTATTACCATAGATCAAAGCAGAAGAGGAAAACTTGACCCGATTGATGGGAAAGCCAGAAAACTTCAGGGCAGCATTACAAAGCTGGGTTCCACAGTGTAAGAGGGACCCAGGAAACACATTCCTCATGCATGGAACACGCTGACTTTACACTGTGCTGTGCAGGCCTCGGGCAGAAGAGTACACATGGAAGGCAACCACTTCAGTCATCAGCCCCAGAGCTTACAAGGCTGTAAGGAGTCTCACGCAGAAATTCACCAGGGGCATTCAAAGATTCAATACAGTGAAACATCATGATTTCTATGAATGCATTACTAGCTGACAAGTAAACCCAGTTCAATTTAAGAAGAAAAGCCCAAACCTCAGACATTATAGATGTTTTGGGCCTAGAGCAACCTGATTTAGCTGTCCTAACCTCTGATGTGACTCCAGGAATGAATCTTGTGTTCATCCCAGGCAGGAGTCCAAACTTTGACATGAACTTATTAAGTATCAGGTAGGCTGTTGGTTTAAAACTGTTCCTCTTGGATCACTTTTGTACAGTTCTGCAATGGTTATTTAGGTCTTCAGAGCCCTCAGGGTTGCTGCTCAGAAAAAATACAGGTCTTCCCCTGTGGTCTCAGTTTTGCAAAAATCTCGAAGCATCTTTGCTTTGTCTTTAATATGCTATCTAATTTTATTAAGTAAAATTCTGTGGTTTTCTAGGCAGCCACAAAAAACAAACAAACAAAAACCCACCAGCCAAAAAAGGTACCATTTATCCACTACGTGTATATACTGATTACTGGCACAAATGCCAGACATACATACATAGTTAAAATTTCTAAAACTCCTAACTAGCTAAAATATGCTTCAGCATTAATCCATTGTTCCAAAACACAGCCCTGTACTTATTGTTGTCCAAAATTGCCGCATACTCACTCCCCGGCTCCATGGAGCTATGTGCACAGCCAGTTGTACTCATGCATGTGATACCAGCAACTGCTCAGATACATAAAATTACTGATGTGCACAAGTATTTACAAGATGAAGCTTTAGTCAGAGACTAATCAAGACACAAACAGATTGAACAGACCCAACAGACAAACAGACAGAGTAGACACACAGTGTAAGCATGAAGACAAGACAGCATTCATGAGATGTAGGTCACTGGGGTGGGGGGGGACCAAAGGAAATTCCACCAGATGTGAGTATTTGTAGTTGTGGTGGAGGGTTTAAGAGCAACCTGAACCCACAACTTTTAGTTCTATAAATGCAAGATTATAGATTATTTTTCAAAAACATGACTTTGACAATCTAGCTTGACAAACTCAGGAATTAAAAAAAAACCACACACAAAAAAAAAACAAAGCCCAACACAAAGCTCATAAATTTAACCATATGAAAAGTTAGGAGAGGCTTGGCACAATTAAGTTGGGAGCTTTGAAATGATTTTGGAAAGGCTGCTTCTTATCCCCTGGCTAAGACCACCTCCTATATGGCTACTGTAATGTTGATAACAAAAGAGAAATTCCAAATAACAAAATGCCGGCAAGGCAGTCATCATCTGGGAAAAAACAAAACAAAACCCAACCAAAAACTCCACAACACACATGGTGGTAACCATTGTCTGCGTACATTAACTTCAGTGATGATCTTTTGAGTTCAGCCTTCCACACTACAAGCATTTTACAAAAAGTTAATTTTTCTACACTCCTGCAAGAAAGGGCAGCTGGAGGCAGAACTGTGATGCAGAAACCCATGTAGGAACACGCACCATGACATCATCACAAGCAGGCAACAAGCAGACAGATGGATATGGCAGAGACCCCAGCTATTTGATAATGACATATGATTACAAATACATTACTGCAGCTCTTCCAAGAAACATTCATTCTTCCAAAACAACTTGTCAGACAATTTCTGAAAGGGCACATATTCAGTTTTGCATCTAACGACATAATACCAGCAACACAGTTCTGTTCTAGTTCCTTTTCTCTTTCATCTGTCTTCATCCTCAATAAAAGGCAGCGATATTAAATAAAATAGAGAGTTCATCTCTATTACAATGAACTTACAAGACTTATACTAGAACAGGTGTGATAAGGAGAGAAAAAACACTACACAAGGTACGCAATACCTAAGTCACATGTTTTTATCGTTTTAATTACTAGCTGGAACACAGGAACAGCATTTCTAATCATTTCTAGTCTATTTCCAGGGAGTTTCTTCTTCATTCACTTCATCTTTCATCTCCTGTATGTCTACGTGTTGTCGTACCCCTGCTACTCTCATACATGCACTTGCTCACATTCTTCTGCACTTTCAAATAAGGACAGAAATAAGTCATTTTATTTTACCTGCCAAATTTGAACAAGCCTTATCAACACCAATAGACCTGAAGGCACAATTACACTGTATGGTAAAACCATCAATTTTATTTATTTTTTTCCTTTGAATAACCTGGAAGGCTCAAAGATGAATGGCTGTTTAGGAACTACCTCCAACACACCCAACCTTATCAAGTCCTTCGTTGAGATTCAACCTAGAGCAGACACAGGAAAAGAGAAGTTTGGCTGCACAGAACATCACAAGAAAACGTGCCTCATGAAAAGTGACAGTTTTAGAGAGTAAGCACAATTTCTTTCTTGTATCAGTACGAACCAGCATAGGCTGTTGTGGTGTGTAGCCGAGAAAGTGACTCCTGAACTTTAAGGACGTATGCAGAGGCAGAAGTGTACATGTGAAGTGATCCAATGACAAAAAGTGCACGATTTCTTGCAGTCATGTTTTTTAATCCTAAATCAAGAGCTGGACGCAAATGGAGATAGGGAAGGATATGAATTACCAAGATCAATACATCGACATAGGGATTCTGTAAGAACCTTTCCGTGAAAGAGCCGAGATATCAGTGTGAATGGCATAGACCGAATTACCTGTGCATCTCTGGAAGCAAAGTTTATCAAACTTCAAAGAAGTATCTTTGAAACTGACTTTTTGAGTCAGCAATGCTCTGTCTTAACAACGACTCTGAGGATCTTGAATACTATTTTCTATACTTCTGGTTTAGCTTTGCTGCATTTTTATTTTCTTTCCTTTTTTTAAGGGTGGAAAGTGCTGCAGATAAAAAGCTGTATTCTAGACTTCTTTCAACATCAGACCAGCAATGGTCAACCTGGTTCTCCTTGATCTGTTCCTGGCACTCAAGGATGCCCAATACCTTCCATTGCAAAATACCAAATCATAAAGACCATCCTCCACACTTTGGTTTGAAGAGGTGCTGCTTTTGATCTGTCTCTATTTCACTGTAAGACTCCACTGAAATTAATTAGTGAAGTTAATGAAATACAACAGAGCAAATAAGAGGACCACTGAGTTTTACATTCTTAAAATCCTTCCTCTTACCCCAGCCAGAAAATTGCCTGACAATATTTAAAAAGAAAAGTTAAAAAAAAAAAAAAACTTTTTATCCAGAAACACCCATAGTATATGACCAAGACTGCCTTTAAGAACAAAAGTGATGCACTGTCCGCTGCTCTGCTATACTTAGGATTTCTTTTACTTGCCACCAGTTTTTTTAGGTGCTGTTATCTCACAGTCACAGAGTCAGAAGGGTCACTTCTGCCTCGTTCCTCATGACGCACATGTAGAGTAGCACAAGGAAGAACAGAGAAAAGAAAAATACAGGGAGGTAATTATGGGACACCATTCCTTGTTCACACACGCCATCTGAAATACTGCTTGGCTTTGTTCTAGCTACTTGGCTAATCTTTTCAACACCACCTATGCTGGTGTTGTGCAGGCTGCAAATCGCAATATCAACAAACACAGCAATTTCAACTGCTCTGTCATTACCAATCAGAAATTATTTCAGGAAATATGCAGGAGCTGTGACTCAGCCTGGACATCGATGGCTGTTCCATTTCTTAGTCACTGAATGAGGCTAGCACATGACTCATCTCAGCTGACACATTTTCAATTGGATCATTGATATTCCAGACCTTCAAAAGAATTATTCATCTATCTTAGTGCTAACAGCAACATATCCTCCGTCTCCTCCATTTATAGTACCATATTACAAAACGTATACATATGATTTAACTGGTGTATACATATGATTCAACAGGTTTCATCTCCCAGTGAATGCAGAGACCACATAGAACTTACACTTTTTACTGATATATACTATTTATCCTGCGTGCATGCATTCTTCTTAAAATGAAGATTATTTTTCTCCACAAGTTGATGGAGAAAAACAATCAACCGATAATGATGGTCAACTGCAAAACTGATTCAACTAAAGCCACTATTTGCTATCAACATGTCTTACAAGAGCAGCCCATTTCTGGCGTGTTCAGCACTGCATTAACATGTGCATACTACACTGGGCAAAGCCAACAGACGTTTTTCTTACTCAGTCTCTCAGACTAGACTGCAAGTCCATCATCACCCTGATCAATCTTCTGTATTTACAGACTCCGGTCAAGAAGATCAGCAAATTGATTTTGCCTTGTTTGGAAGCACACTTTGGTGACCTGATCACATTTCAGCCCTATGGCCGTTTCCAGCCAGGAATGACAAGCAGATGCTACACAGTCTACAGGCTCCTCCGGCGTGAAGGGAAGCTTCCAAAACACACGTGGCATTGGGCAACCTGGCAGTAACTTTGAAGCAGTTGAGCAGGTCTACTGATGTCAAACAGCAAGCATGCAACTCGCACAGCTCACCAGTGATAATGCAACCCTGGAAAGCGACTGTAGTTGCAGGAGAGCTGAAGATTTCTATTTTACAGCCCAGTGTTCTTTTCTAGGTAACTTGCTATTTGTGATACATGCATATCTATTGCTTTAAGTGAATTCATACAGGTACTGGAGAGTGCTGTAAACCCCTCAGGCTTTTAAAGGAATATGTCCACGTGCTCAGAACATTTTAAGTTTTGCATGTTAACTTTTGTTAACTCAATGGCTGAAAAAAATAACTCAGAAAACAA